AATTCTATCAAAGGGGATCCTATTACAGGAATAGCTTCAGGTACACCTGTTACAATTTTCACTGCCCAATAACCAATTGGCTATAATAAAATGGTCAATAAATTAAGGCGAATGAAAGTTAAGAGAGAGAGAAGTTAGAAGCATTCATTTAGACTCGCAACAACTATCATCCATTTTGATGAAGAAAAGACTACATGAATAAAGAGCAGAATTAAGATGCATCAAAATAAAGATATTAAGCACAACATACTTTTTGTTCAGAACAATGAAATAGTAGTCTTTCATGCATGGCCCCATCAATATTTTTTTAGTATATAATATTTATATACGGCAAATATAATAAATAAACTCACGCACTCTCCTCACAGCTGGTGAGGTTTGAACCTTTAACCTTCTAGGAGGCCAAAGACTTACATACCGCTAGGCCAAACACCTTTTGATGTCCCCATGAATGTTGTATGTGTCATCTAAACCAAATAAATACATTATGTGTATCTTTGTGTTTGTTGTTTAGATTGGTTTTGTGATTGTAATGCCTAATTCTTACCTCTATTATACAACTATACAGGTATTATCACAGTTAAGCTGAAACAATTAATTACACATAATTTTCAATATCCAAAACAAGTAACATATATAATTGCGACATATTAATTTTGGCTTTTGTTTGTTGCTTTGTGGACTCGGTTTGTTGTAGTCTTGTGTAATCTGGTTGGTCGTTTTGTTTTGTCCTTAGGTAGTTCTGGTTGGTTTTGTTTTTTCCAGGTTTGTTTGTTTCGGGTTGGTTTTGCGCCTTGCAGAAGCTTTGTTTGTTTGTTTACTCTTTTATTTATAATAAACTGGTTTTTAAGCTTTGTTTGTCTGTTTACTCTTTTATTTCTAATAAATTATTGGTCTTTAAAAAAAATGTTGATATTTTCGGATGTACCAAACATGTTTTTACAGATGACATGAGCTTCGACATCCTTTTAGGATATTTTCATGAGCTTAAAGCAGAGATAGACCTAGATTTTTTTTTAAATGGTATAAGAAATAAATATGTGGATATTTATAAAAAAATGGTCTATTTGTTAGTTCTTTGTTTTTCATATGTGAGATATTGTGTCTTTTATTGCAAATTTTTTTAGAAAAATAATAAATTTGAAATTAAAAACTAAAAACTAAGGAAAATGACACAAATGTGATTCAAACCCGAGTCTACGGTGGAAGAAAAGTCATGCAAATTAACTCTATCAATGAAATTTTGTGTCACTATTATAGTTTCAAAATATATATGGTTGCACAAAATAAAATGATATGGTAGCACATTTCACAATTTTATAATTGTTTACACTACAACCGAGGAACGAAACGATAGCCTGTATAACTGTATCTATTAAAGTGGGTATTCCCCTAGCTTAAAGCCACAATTGTAAAAATTTTAGTACAAACATTTAATACATATACACACACTATATATATACATAATATATATATATATATATATACACACACACACATATACATATATATAAGGTTGGATTCACGTGAGACAATGTTGTTTTCGTGAGACACTTGAGACACGATTTTTACACGTGAAACTTCACAGCAAAATGTTGTGAAGGTAAAAAGAAGCCGAATCTTCACAACAACTTTCACAGTGTTTTGTTGTGAAGTTTGAAGTGTAAAAATCACGTCTCACATGTCTCATGAAAACAACATTTTCTCACATGATCCCAAGTGTATGTATATATATATATATATATATATATATATATATATATATATATATATATTATTCATGTTAGTTTTTTTAAAAATAATAGTACATGATTTTTTTTATTTTTAATTCAAGCACTGAGTTCAAATATATTCATGTTTGAAAACTTTTAATGATTTTTTATAAATAACAATATGTGATTTTATTATAATTTTGTTATTCATTTAACCTAACAAAAAAACATTACTATATCAATACCCAAGGGAAAAACCTTAGAGCATCCACAAAAGGTGTAGTTTTTTCGCATAAATTCTTACTGGATAAGATTCTCAGTCTTTGTTATGTCTCTTACCCAGTAAGATTCTTGATTATTTTCATACTTAATTGATAAGATAGTGATATCGGTAAATCCTTACCCGATAAATATTTAATGTAGCTAAGGAGGCAATCAACTTTTTAAAAAGCTATACATTAAAGCATGATTATGGATGCTCTTACAGTTTTCCACGAAAATTATTATTGAATGTGACAATTCAAAACATCGGGACCAATCATTATCATCGAAGTTCTTTTTATACGTTTATTTGCCAATAAATGTTGGGTTGGCAACAATTCAAGAAAAAAAGTTGTAAAAAAACACAATTTTCTTATGAAATCTTAAAAGCATCATATCAATAAGCTTAGTTTATAAGCTAGTTTTTATCAGTCTAAATTAGGCTTTTAAAATAAACTTAAAAAATAAGTTAGCTTATGTTTGTCAAACATAACTTTTTTTAAAATTTTATATTATATATAGGGGTCTAATCAAATGAGAATTGTTTTTTTAGTATATAATATTTATATACGATAAATGCAACAAATAAACTCACACACCCTCCTCACATTTGGTGAAGTTTGAACCCATGACCTCCTAGGAGGCCAAAGGCTACGATACCGCTAGACCAAAGACCCTTTGGTGAGAACTGTTTTGTTTGTGGTAACTGTGAGATACAATCTCAACCACAAATCAAAGATTAAATTAAAAAATTAATAATTTTGGTAATTTTAACTTAAAATATTAATTAAGGGCATTTTAGAAATTTTATAAATATTTTTTCTCATATCTCCTTTTTCCTCTCTCCGGCAAATCTTATTCGGCGAACATTATTCTTATGTGAACACAAGACACATGCTGTGAATGTGATACCTACAAACAATATTCACTGTGATACTCACATATACATACAAAATGCATAATGTGATACCCTTTGTAAAGCAATAAAAATAATAAAAATGCATACTATGATACATCTAATAAAACAAAGAAAATACATTGTTATACAAATGAAATATTGTGAACGTTATCACTATGATACATTTTGATTCACAAACGTCTTTAAAACACGATGTATATTAGGTAATTTATATACTAGGTAACTAAATTTAATTAAATATTTTCTTCTAAAAAATTAATTAAATATTTTGCTTAGCTGTCAAAAATAGAATTACTATATAACATTTTTAACTTATTTAAGAAATATCTTAAACGAGTGGTTCACATCGGATCTCATGGTTACCACAAACTAATCAGTTCTCCCTTGAATGAACCCCGGTGTTTCTCACGATACTTTCGTTTCTATTATTAAGATCTTTTAAACAAAGTCAAAGTTGCAATTTATATTGGACGAAAATGAAAAAAAAATGATAGAACACTTGATAGTGTAAAGGATACAGGTATTGACGTAGTTGGTCATATTGGCTTATTCAATCCCAATAGTCAATAGAGTGGCTACGATTATTATGCTAAAGCCTAAAAGCATATCAAATTCATTTACTCATATCTTTCCATACTGCTTTATCCAAGCTTAGGTGGTACAACAATAAAATTGCATCATTAAGGGGCTGTTTGTTTGGTTCTTAATGGTGATATTAAGAGCCAACCTCTTAATGTCAGTTGCTGAATGGTTTGGTGCATAATGGTTAAGTGTTGAATGAAATAATGTTGTTTGGTAACTGTTCTCTGAATGACAGTAAATTACCATTTTAACCCTCTGAAAAGATAAATCATAACCCCATGAAATTTCAACATACAGTGCATAATCCCATGAAATTTCAGTGCACATACAGCAGGCTCAATTTGATTCAATCAACATGATCGATGATCAATAATCTATTATCGTCACAAACTAATCCAGGATTTAAACGATCAGTAAGAAAGAAAAAGAAATCTAGGGTTTGGAAGTTATCGAAGGGAAACCTCTTTTTGTCATCGGTATAGTACTCCTGAGGGGCATCCGAGTCGCTGTCAGAATCGTGAGCGGAGGGTCGGTTCAAATCGGAGAGAGTTCGAATGCTGCGGGGACGACTCGTCGATGGTTTTGCCGGATTCTTGTCGCGCGACGCCATTGTTGAGTTTGGTGGCTCAAGCTGGAAGAGATGAGTGGGAAAGATTGTGAAGGCGACGTGGAAGGAAGGGTAAAGAAGGAAGAAATGATATCTGAATGGTTGAGTGAAGCCATAGACACAAAATGGTTAAGAGGGTCATGTAATCATTAAGAGGGTTATTTTTTTTTACCAAACAATCTTTACCTCTTACCGATTAAGAGATTGGCTCTTAATGTCACCATTAAGAGCCAAACAAACAGCCCCTAATTCTTTAAAAATAATATATTTAATAGTAAATATATAATATATTTAATATACGAGGACTAGGCGGGAATCACGTTACTCAAACCCTGTCCACAGGTTTTGACGGAATTCCTGACCCCATCGGGGAGGATCTCATTCTCATGTCAAGTAACCCGAACCACGTTATATCTATGAGTTAATTTGCTTTTTTTGTTCGTTTATTACGTATTTTATAGTTCGGGGGTGTTTGGGATTGCTTATTTGAAACAATTTATGTTTTTCTATAAAAGCACTTATCAACTTATTTTAAGTCGGAAGACTTTAACTTCTTCAAAAAATCCTTATCACCAGTTTGACATCGTTATAAATTGTTTATCCAAATACTTAAAAATGTTTATTACTGTTGTCACACCGTAATAAGTTAATAAGTAGTTTTTATAAGCAATTCCAAACACCCATTTCATCTCATTTGTTACAGGTCAAGTTAGTTTTACATTCTTTTGAGTGTTCTTTTATTGGGCTTAAGCATAAAGCATTTATTTGTAGCCCATGTAGCTTTACCACATTTACGGCCCAAATGCGGACCCAGTAAAAAAACATTGCTGTGAAAGAAATTATCCACACTCTCTCAACTCTCAAGTGGCCCCTGTCCCTCACCCTCTCCCCGCCGCTGCGGCCCCGGCGCCGGCGATTCTTTCCCCCATTCTTCCGACGTTGACTCCTGTCTAGTCCTCCGGTGGTGAAAATAGGTAGTATTATGGTTTCGTTTTTTTGTTTATTAGGCCTTCATTCTTGCTTTGGTTGATGAGGAAATTTGTGCAAAATATATATAGGTTTTAATTCATGCTTTGATTGATGAGTAAATTTGATCAAAATGCATATATTGGGTTGTACGCCCTTTTTGATTGATGAGGAAATTTGATCAAAATGCATATATATGTTTGCATTCATGTTTTGATTGATGAGGAAATTTGATCAAAATGCATATATATGCTTGCATTCATGTTTTGGTTGATGAGGAAATTTGGTCAAAATGCATATCTAGGTTTGCGTTCATTTTTTATTGATGAGGAATTTGATTCATGCTTTGTTTACTAGCCTGTATGAGCACACTGCACAGTGCACACCGGTGACCAGACCAAAAAGTTAGTAGTTCAGACTTCAGAAATTTTCAACACTTCATTAATTATTTATCCAGCATAATTTCTAATGTTCTTTAGTTAGAGGATCAGAAGAATCTAATGAGAAGCCAAAAGATTGGGGCTATGACTGTGAGCAGAATCACAGATGAAAGACAACAAAAACATGAATTGTTCTTTTCTATTGTTTAACCCCAGTTCATTACAAATAACAAGTGTGCTAAATTTGTGTATATCACATGATGTTCCTATAAGCACAAACAAAAATAGGCACAGGACCATCATAGTTGTTACAGCTATTGGTTTGATACTGAGTTCTCAGCACAAAAATAACAAGAGGTTTACGGTCCGCCTCTGGTTGCTGGAGTTTTTGTATCCGCCACTTCTCATCCCCATGTAATCCTCCTCCCTCTCTCTCTCTCTCTCACACACACACACAAAGGCCCACTTTTTCACTCTATAGATGCATGATGGATAAGTAAATGATGTCATTGTGCTTTATGTAGTTTATCTTTATGTGATGAGCGTTGTTCGAGTTCTATGTAATTTGTTCATTTAAGTGTTTGATAAAATGCTTCATAGAGCTGGAACATTTATAATCCCATTGCCAAACTTGGTTGCTCGTTAACTTGGTTATTTAAATTGTTACATATGGTGATTCATGACTGAAGAATGTGATGGTTGCCCTTTGCAGTAACATTGATTGATAGATGATCATTTTGGGTTGTAATTTCAGATAATGTTCTCTCTTTTGTACAGGTGTATTACTCTGTAGAATAATTGTATCAAGCAATCATATTCAGGGGTCAGCTAAATCTTACTAGTTCATAAGCAGATTCATTGGAATTTGCATTAGATCATCGTGTAGTCACTTTCTTTTTGCTTGAAGAAACATATTATTTCATCTTCTGAGGAATCCATTGATATGATGGCAATCAAGCGTATGTTTAACTACATTCCAACATTGAGATACTCCTCAGACTCATATCTTAAAAGCGGAGACAGGTTGAAACAAACAAGAATATTTTCAAGTCAAGATCTTGTTGAATTCTCGAAGCTGAGTTTTGATGCAAACCCTCTGCATTTAGATCCTGAATTTGCAAGGAATGCTGGATTTAAAGATAGAGTGGTTCCTGGAATGCTTGTTGCATCTCTATTCCCAAGGATCATTGCTTCTCATTTCGTAAGCTATTCACGCCTTTCTTGTATACATATTGCCTTCTGTACCATTCACACTTTTGCACAAATCAGGGTCTTCACAGGATCATACTTTACCCTTTGGGGAAGATGACAGATTTGTGTACATTTCATTTCCCAAACCGTATTTTTGAATGAGATATATTGCGTTCTTTTGGTTTTTGTTGCGCACGCAACAAGGACTTGAAGCTCTTGTAGGTTTATATGTAACCCATATGCACAGGTGAATACAAGTTGTGGTTTGATACCCGAAAATTGTACTACTGATTTGTAGCCTGGAGCAGTATATGCCTCACAGACATTGCACTTCAGATCGCCGGTTTACGTAGAGGAGGAGATTACTGGAGAAGTTGAAGCTACTAGCATAAGAGAATCAAAGAAGAAATATATGTGAGTCGAAATCAAGTCCGAACTCTTGATTACATTTGAACTGCAAGATCTAACTTTTATTTTGCGACTTGGGTTAGTGCCAAGTTTACAACCAGGTGCTTCAACAACACTGGGGTTCTTGTTCTTGATGGAGAGGCTATGGCTGTCCTACCAACATTATGTCCAACAAAAGCCTAAACTTTGGATTCATTGGTATGGCTTCACCCCTAAAACCAAACCAAAGATCTCCCAGCTCTTTTTAGGGGGTTCGTTACGGTCAACAAATCAGCAACCTGAGTATATCCCAATCAGAAGTAGGGTATGGAATGATATGGTTTCACCCCTAAAAGTAAACCGACCCAAACTCAGTATATCGGAGCGATATGGTTTCAGCCCTGCCACTATTAAAGCCGAAATGAGCCATTCCTGCCTCACTTGCTATGTACAACAGCAACTTCTTTTATTGTCTTGGATCATTTTAATATTCTGATTTAGTAAGTCCCTTTTATTTTGTGTAAGATCGTTCATATGTGAATCATGTTTATCTTGATTCAGTAATTTCACTATGTTCATCGATGCTGACCAACAGCTTCACAGAAAGGTTCGGCCTTTGATCTATATATTTATTTGGTGTGAGATTATTCATATGTGAATCATGTTTTTCTTAATTCAGTAATATGCTTATGTTCATCAATGCTGACCAACGGTTTCAGAGAAAGGCTCGGTCTTTGATCTATATAAGTAGAAAACCAACCAGCATGCATGTTCATTCAGTATCGAAGTCGGCTAGCCTTCATTCAACTTTCCCACGATTTGCGGGTTTGCTTCTTTTTTGATCCACAAATACAAACTAATGGCCTAATTTCCTTTCGTTTTAATCGAGTGTTCAGGACCTGAAGACGGGCTCTGGCAATGGGTAAGTGGGCCAGGGCCAGTTACAAGATAGTCGAGAATGGTTACTAAAAACTTGATCGGTTATCATCGGTTATGGTTTTTTTTTTTGCGATCCTATACATTTCTTTTGTACAATTTCTCTTTTTAATATGTGTTTGAGTCGGTAGTTTAGCCACACAAAGGAAAAACAATTCCAAAATCAAGCAATGATCCGATTTCTCAAAAAAAAAAACCCGATTTTTCATGCTTTAGTGATTGAGAAATACGATATTTGGTTGGAACAAACGAAATATTTTTGAAATAAATGTTTAGAAATAGTATATTTAAAACACAAATTTTATAAAAAAAATTAAGTTTATTTAAAATATTAAAAAAAACTAGAAAAATGATTGGGGTTTAGAGACCGTTTCTTTGTTTTTTCAAATAGGGATCAATTAAAGATCGGAAACGAGGATTCATCAAGAGCAGGTCTAGTTAGGACCGGTTAAAGCCCGGTTCTTGCCTAACTATACTATTAATAAATTAATTAATAAATAATGTATCTGACAAATAGTTATATTGGTAAAGGAGTGGGTGACTTTGTCTAGTTAAGTCTCTCACTAGCTTCAGCCGTTAAGTGAGTCAAAAAAATGTTCTCTCACATTGATGTCATTGAAAGCAGGTTCTGTGTATAATCGGTTGGAGTTGTCGGTAATCAACTTTTATTGATCAAATAAATAGGTTTGATTTTTTTAATGTATAATATTTATATACGGTAAATACTCATACACAATGTTCACTTCTCTTCACTTATGATGTGTTTTGAATATTTGACCGTCTAGGAAGCCACGCTCTTGTGATTTGCGATCTTTTATAGGCTCGAAAGAAGATTGCTTCCGGATTTTCTAGAGATATAGCTTCAGTGTTGTGAATTCTCTTGCAGATCACTCAATTACGAATTATGGACGCCCTTTTAGTAAATTAAAAACAAGATTGAAGGAGAAGACAAATGGTTTGACTTGAGGGCTGTTTACCAAACGCAGGTAAGTGTTAACCAAGTCAAATTACTTTACCGGATGAACATTGCAAAGATCGAGAATCTTACCCAGTAAGAACGATGACAAGGATCAAAAGTCCTATCCGGTAAGTGAGAGTAACAACTCTTAGTTGGTTGATTTTTCATTGAACCATGTATGGACAAAGTTGTATCTCTAGATTAACCTATTTGTATAAATTGAGAAGATTTATGATTGGGATAGTTTTTTCATGGATTGAATGAACACATTTTTTAATTGGAAGGTACAAGTTTGGGAAAAAAATTGGCTTTCTACATCAAGCTCTGCTTGAAAAACTCACTGAATAAGTTCCGAGCCATATTAGGCTTATTAAGCTGCTAAACAAACATTCTTGCCCCATTAGTGCTTACCAAACAAAATTGTTGCATACAATGCCGCTTTAATGAACTAAAATCTTACTCGATAAGGTAGGTGATGTGTTGAATCTTACCCGTAATTGCTGAACCATATTTAGTGTTTAGGTAAACAACCCCTTCATTGAATTTGGTGAATTACCCACAGATATTTTCTCCAATTGGTTTTCCAACAAAATGTAACATCAATTTTCTTTGTTGGTATGATAAAAATCCTATAAATGAACATCAATGTACGTAAATTACTGAATTATATAAATTTCTTCAAATTTTTTGACATTTGGCCGTGATAAAGTTCCATCTCGAATTGGTACAAAAGTGGACCTTATTTGGTCCAATATCACCTTCTAATAAGCCCCTATTAATTAATTATACAGTCATACCTTGGGGTGCACTAGCCACTGATGTCTTTGGCTTGGCCTTTTCGACAACAATCGCTTGTGTCGTTAGAACCATACCCGCAACCGAAGCCGCATTTTGCAACGCACATCTAGTTACCTTTGCTGGATCGATAACTCCCGCTTCCACCAAGTTCTCGTACTTGTCCGTCATTGCATTGTACCCCATCTCCCATTCGCTCTCCTTTATCTTCTCCACCACCACTTCCCCTTCAACTCCCGCGTTTTGGGCTATTAGAGATGCCGGTGACACCAATGCCTAAAACCAACCAATGGAAACAAATTATGGTTTACTAGTTATGTATCCGTGTAATGCACCAGAATGTAAAATTCTATTTGTAAAGAAAAAGCAAATTTGAAGATTTGGTTCAAGAAAAAAACCCAAGAAAAATATATCAACACACAGAGTTTCAAATTGAAGATCATAAATTTATCTGCTTTTAATATAGTTTTCTTAATTCAATTTTTTATTATAATTTAAATATTATAGATTTAAAATAAAGATTGTATTTTATTATAATTTCAATGGAGTATTATGCCTTCTATTGCTCGTGTTTATCAATTAGTTATTAGTTAGTTTTATAAAATTTAATGAGCTTTAAGGGTTGTTTTATGACTTTGAGCAAATGTTTTATAGGGGTTGCCATTTAAATACGAAGGCTGTGAGAAGATACGAAGGAAATATTCATATGTGAATATATTGAAAAAATCTATTTGAAAAGGTATATGTAAACTGATGTTACTGATTAATTTATATGGGTTTATATATGCATCTTCAAATGGATTTTTTCAATGATTCATATGAACCTTTCCCTTCTTACCTTCTCACTGTATGTAGTCTTCTTATTTGAATCTCCTATGTGTTATATAATATAGTAAGTAAGAATTACTTACCTTTTGAATGATGTCGGCACCTAATCGTTCATCGGCATCCACGATCTTCTCCTTGATGGCTGGAACCAATGTTGATAGATGAACATATGCAGCACCACCTCCAGGTACAATACCTTCCTCTATAGCAGCAAAGGTTGCATTTTTAGCATCTTCGATACGAAGCTTGCGGTCCTCTAGCTCGGTTTCGGTTGCAGCACCGACTTTTATAACAGCGACCCCACCAGATAACTTTGCGATTCTTTCAGCAAGTTTCTCGGAGTCGTACACAGAATCTGTTTCCGACAACTCCTTTTTGATCTGGGCGATCCTAGATTGTATCTCGTCCTTTGATGCAGCATCCGCGATGATGGTTGTGGAGTCCTTGGTGATTGTAATCTTCCTGGCTATACCAAGCTGCTCGACAGAGGCATTTTCAACAAGCAGACCCAAGTCACTGGCTTGATACTCGGCTCCTATATCACAGATTTCAAACAATGGAAAACAAATAATGGGTCGACTGAGTTCAAGTCATATCTAATATTACGACAACAAAACCGGTTTTATATGACGCCAAAGATGGCTAAATGTCTTAATAGACTGCATTATAGAACTTAAGTTTATAGGATCAAACAATTACGTGTGTGAGATAGAGGTGTGTCACAATAGGATGTGAGGACATACTTGAGCATCCTAACAAGTTTTTTATTACACTTTTGAAATGAAGAGTTATATTAGCTTTTTTATAGGTCACTTTTGAGAAGCGTCTCATGAACAAGTACATTTGTATTTATAAGACAAATGTTCCAGATAATGTTATAAAAAGACTAATAGGACGTTTTATTTCAAAATTGTCCTAAAAATTTGTCAGTACACCCAAAAATGTTGTATCGACTGATTGTAACACTTGTCCATAGGATGCACTGTGTTTGGTCGTATAAACTTAAGTCATATAAAACGGTTTATTAGAAAAGTACATGCTTAGCATCCTATAAAGCTGATTTTATTGTAGTGTATCAAAATAAACAAAATGTACCTGTCATGATGGCAATATCTTGAAGTAAAGCCTTTCTCCTCTCACCAAAACCAGGTGCTTTAATAGCAGCGACATTAAGGATACCTCGCAGCTTGTTCACAACAAGAGTAGCCAAAGCCTCACCGGTAACATCCTCAGCGATAATCAACAAAGGAGCTCGCAATTGAGTGGTTTTTTCCAATAAAGGAATAATCTCCTTTATCGAAGCTATCTTCTGATCTGTAATCAGCACTCTAGCATTCTCAAATTCGACCAGTAGTTTCTCAGGGTTGGTAACAAACTGAGGAGAAATATATCCTCTATCGATCTACAAAATCCCATAGAGATGAGGAAACATCAAAAAATATCATCTCCATGATATATAAAACATGGGTTAGGTCAAGAAACAGAAGCAGATTAAGTTCTAATTCAAGACAAACCTCCATTCCTTCTTCAACATCAACAGTTGTCTCAAAAGAGGATGATGACTCAATTGACAGAACACCATCTGGTCCAACCTTGTCAATAGCATCAGCAATCATGCTTCCAATGATGTCATCGTTTCCAGCAGAGATTGAAGCAATGGCTTTAATAAGATACAAGAATCCAATCAGAAGACAAGACAATTTATGCTGAAACCCTTCACCAATATCTATCTATCTATATAGATATATAGATATTGGTTCTCACATGATTATCCCCCTATATATAAGCCAAAAATTGGAGTACAGAAATCATGTTACCTTTAATATCATCACGGCCTTTCACCGGTCTAGCTTTCTTCTCCAGCTCCTCAATCAAACCCAGTACCGTCTTGTCAATACCTTTCTTCAATGAAACTGGGTTGGCACCAGATGTGACACTCAGGAGACCAAGTTTGATAATCTCACGGGCAAGAACTGACGCTGTTGTTGTACCATCACCGGCTGAGTCATTGGTTTTGCTTGCAACCTGTCAATAATTCAATTCACCATCGTTAAACATATGGTAAAACCAGTAATCAATCAGTAGTCACAACTAGAGAAATATAGAGCATGATCCAAACCTCTCTGATAAGAGCAGCGCCAGCATTTTCCATGGCATCAGGTAGCTCAATAGCTCTGGCAATTGTAACTCCATCATTAACCACCTTGGGGGCGCCAAATTCATCCAAGACAACATTCCTCCCTAACCAATTAATATACTTGGTCAAAATTCTCATCTAAAGTTAGCAATGGTGCATGAAAGAAGATGGTTGCAATAAGTCTGCAACAAAATGATCAACTTAATTCTTACCGTTTGGCAGAAACTAACCACCATTCATGTGAAATTGCTAAAAGAACACTATAGTTTGCATTACTTTGCAAAAAGAAACAAGTTTGGAAAATTATGGCAATATAAACACAACACCAAAAAAAATTGTTTGGGACATTTTCTGGAGTATTAGAATCACTTGATTTTGATTTGCCAAAATGCATTTAGAACACTAGAACTTGCAAGTACACTTTTGGATGTAAAAGACCAGTAAGAATGTACTTTTCTTGCATTTTTGGTAAGCAACTCTCGAGTCTATAAACTATGATGTCTTTTTGGCATCTCCAAGATGGTAGTTAGCTTGCAACAAAAAGCAATAACAATCACTTATCTTCTTATCCAAAAATAGCTCATCCTTAAAGTTATGGTGTTTATTTCGCACTTTCTGGAGATTCTAGTGTGTATTTGCAAACAAAATCCATTCAACAAGCCTATAACTCCCTCCTGATGTGAATACAAACCTAAATAAATCCTAAACGTTCTTGTTTTTTTTTTTTTTCTTATTAGAATCAAAATCCATTTACAATTGTCTAAATCCAAACAAATTCATTTTCCATATCAACCACCAAACACCGATCCAAATAGGCGAGAACGGGAATTCTAACCACGAAAACATGAAATGAAAATGTGATACCTCTAGGTCCAAGTGTAAGGCCAACAACGTCGGCAAGTTTATCAATTCCGGCCTGCATAGCTGCCCTCGATTTCTGATCAAATTCAATGTCTTTAGCCGCAGCTCGAACCGCAAACCGGCGATTCGTTTGCCTCATCTTCTGAACGGTCTGCAATTGATTAATCCTCCTACTACCATTTATCACACTCCCCTGCTCGAAGAAGAACCCCAAATCATCACCAGAAAACGTAACCAATACACATACAAAACAACAATTTGGCTTAACACAAGAGAATTATTGAAGTAAAACATATTACCTTCTTATGGGTGGAAAGTATTGAAGCTGTATAGATTGCATTAGCAGACGCCATGATAGATGCTGAGAGTTCTTTCAGTAGTGTATGGATAAGAGGGTAGTTATGGAAAGAAGAGTTCGTCGCTATGAAGCTTATATTTAGGGTTTGAGGGTTTAGCGGACAAGTATCTGATCGACGACGTCGTATGGACAATATAGACCGTTTGTTGATTCATTTATGACCCAAAAGTTTGTACTTATAACAAAACAGCCCCAAAATTTTTGCAATAATATCAAAACAGCCACACACATTTGGCAAGTATAACAAAACAGCCCCCACTATTTTGTAATTATAACAAAATAGCCACTAACATTTTTAAATAATAGTCATCTATCGGACCAAATTTTTACTGGGTAAGTATGTACCCAATCATTTACCTTAGGGGGTGTTTGGGATTGCTTATTAAAACAACTTATGCTTTTTTGTAAAAGTGCTTATTAACTTATGTGGTATCAAACTGGAGTTTTGTAAAAAGTGCTTGGATTAGCTTATAGCGGTACCAAAAAGCAATAAGTTGATAAGTTGTTTTTTAGTGTTTGGTAAATTTTGCTTATACATGTAAAATGACCAAAAAGGACGTTATCTTGTTTCATTTCCAAAGTGTCAAAACACACACAACAGTAACCAAAAACCCTAAATCGAGTTCCATCATGAATCAGTAACCTCAAACCCTAAATTGTTCTTCCAAATCGAGTTCCATGGTTGAAGAAATCGAGTTCCATGGTTG